AAAGAAAAAAAGAGCCTGAAGCATAATCGCATTTCTTTAAATTTAAAGTCCAGTTTTAATTGGAAACAGAAAAGTAAAAAGGACTAGAATAAAGTAAGCAAAACAAGCATTTTCCAAATTCTACTTTGTTTTAAAAAAATGTAAACATCTGGCAGAGTTTCACATACAACAAAAGCCAACAAAAAGTTTCATTACAATAATACTAGACAAAGCGAGAGGTTTCTGCATTAGACAATGTAGCCGCACTGTAAATGAATGATGGTGTTTATTACATCGCTTCTAATACAATGCAATGTACCAAACAGCTAAAGGCTGCGAAGTGTGCCGACTTCTTCAAGCCAACAAATTACATATTGATTTAGAAATGGCTCGATAGCCATTTGCAACTTTTAAATTCAAATGCAGATATGAAACGTGATACCAGCCACAAACTGCGGCACTGACTGCCTTCCCTGCATCCTGTAGTGCCTTAAACATGACAACACGTCCTTTTTAAAATCACACCGCCTCAGTTTAAAATATCAGCAAGATTTCTCTCAAATCTCTCCTTCCTTCTCTACTTGTTATTTCCATATCCAAGTATGTAAATAGCACTCAGCAGAGCAACAAATAGCTATTAATAGGTTTACAGCAAGTGTAGCAAAGCAGAGGGAAGTGAAAGGTATTTTTATCCCTCATGCTGTAGTTTTGAGGTCTCTTCAAGGAAAGGTTTTTGCATCATAGGTTTGGTTTTTGTGCTAATAACAGATACCAGTTACATGTTTTTGTTGTAAAAAAAAAAAAAAAAGAAGTTTGCAATCATTTGGTAGCATCAGCTCAAAATCTTGGTCTTTTGAATATGGGTGGACAAAGCTGGACCGTAACTAGCCACAATATTTCTACTTAGCTTGCTAGTTCCTTAGCTAGATAGTTTTGTTCTTGTTTGCATAAAATCTGCATTCACAAAATTGGTGGGGATTTTCATGCAGAACATTCTGATCAAGCACTTGGTTGTGTTGCTAAAAAAAAACGCAGAACTATGTTGAAAAAATGGAAGTTGCTTGTTTTTCTGTTTGGCATAAAAGTGGACTCAAAAATGACAAGAGCTATATCACAATGCTAAATGAAACCAAGATTCTCCAGTAATGTTTGCTTTCTGGTTCTTAAGTGCAGTATGTTTGGCTAACCAATTGTTAGCTAAAGCAATTATTCCAACTTCGTGTTGTCTCGTTGATTTACAACTTTGCCCTTTGGGGTTCTCTGTTTCTTTTTTTAAAAGAAAAAGACATTCAAGTGGAATGTGCATAAGGCCTTTGGAATCCTGAGGTGTATGAAATTAATAATAAATTTAATTTAAAACAGTTTTTAATATTAATCTTAACTGCCAAGAGAAATTTTTTGCCTCATGGAAACAAAAAATGTTGTATTTTGAGATAAACTCGTAATATCTGGCTGTGACCTTAAGTGTGGCGTGGGGAAAAAAATAACAAAAGACTCATTAATCCAAGATAAGGGGCTGAGCAACTATAGAAAAGATAACATTTGCTTATGTAGGAGGAACATATTAATGTGTTTAAAGAGGAAAAGGGAAAATACATTTATATAAAGACAAATTTAGATGTCTAAAATATTTAGTCTAAGGTTGAACAAAAAATATGGGTAAAAGAGTCACATTGTTACTATATTTCTCTCAGCCAAATTATTAGAAGCATTATAAATTTAAATGCCTAAAATTTGCACCCATTGAGTAACTTAAATGAGGCTGTAGGCTACAAACTACCTGGACTTTTGGCTGAGATAGAGGTGGAGCTATAAACACTGCTGGTGTGAACAGTTTGGATACAAAATATGCTAATGACGCATGGATAATTTTGATATTTGATATGTTAGGAAAAAATCCACACACAAGACACAACCTCTTATTGTGGTAATGTGGCCTTTTTGTCAAGTTATTGCATGTTGTTTTCTAATTTTGGATTTTCTTTATTTCTGAACTGATTTACTTTTCATTTTTGTGTGTTGCAACCAACACCCCGCGAGCTGCAACCTTAAGGTGGTTTGTTGGGTTGCCCGAATGATCCTAGGAGCTATGTTGTCAGGGGGCACACACTCCTATGGACCCACCACCCGCAGAGGGATATTGGAGACATGGCGTGGTCCATGTTCTCATCCTCCATTGTCAGTGCTGCCGATGGTAGCTGTGGCCAGGTCTGATGTGCCTGTCACGGCGGCATCCCCTAACCTGGTGGTGGCGCCTGGGAGTAGGTAATACCATCACGCTGAAAAAGGAGGCCTACCTGGCCTTGTTAGCTAGTAGGACTCCTAGTAGGACTAGGAGTAAGCCGAGAGGTACTGGCAGGCCAAGTGTGCTGCAACTCATGTAGGAACTGTAGCGCTTAGATTGGCAGACCAAAGTGGTGGTCTCTCTCTTTAAAAAGTCGGATTGGAGGGTGTGATTCAATCACAGAGGTGTCACACTTCTCAGCCATCCCAGTAAGGTCTACTCGTGGGTGAGGGGAGGATAGTCGAACCTCGGATCCAGGTGGCACAATACGGTTTTCATCCCGGTTGCAGAACACTGGACTAGCTCTATACCTTTCATCGTGTGCTTGAGTGTTTGTGGGAGTTCGCCCAACCAGTCCGTATGTGTTTGGTGGATCTGGAGAAGACTTCGACTGTGTCCCTCGTGGTGCCCTGTGGGGTGTGCTCTGGGAGTAAGGGGTCTGGGGTCCTCTTTTAAGGGCTGTCAGTTCTCTGTATAAATGCAGCAGGAGCTTGGTTAAATTTGCTGGCAGTAAGTCAGACCTATTCCTGGTGCATGTTGGTCTGCGCCAGGGCTGCCCTTTGTCACTGGTTCTGTTTGTTACATTTATGGACAGAATTTCTAGGCGCAGCCAGGGACTGGAGGGTGGCCGGTTTGGGAACCTCGGAATATCATCTCTGCTGTTTGCAGATGATGTTGTCCTGTTGGCCTCATCAAACCAGGACCTTCAGCATGCACTGGGGTGGGTTGCAGCCAATTGTGAAGCAGCCGGGAATAGGATCAGCACCTCCAAATCCACCGGAGAATGGTGGACTCCCCTCTTCAGTTCAGTGGAGAGTCCTTGTCTCAGTGGAATTCAAGTATCTCAGTCTTGTTCACGAGTGAGGGACGGTTGGAATGTGAGATTGATAGACAGACCAAAGCTCTTGATTTATTGATCGATCCACGTTCCGATCTTCACCTATGGTCATGAGATCTGGGTAATGACCAAAAGGACAATATTTGCGAATACAAGCGGCCGAAATGAGTTTCCTTCGCAGGGTGGAGGAGTGCACTCTTTGAGATCCGGTGAGGAGCTCAGTTACCCAGGAGGAGCTCGGAGTAGAATTGTTGCGCCTCCACATCGAAAGGGTCAAGCTGAGGTGGCCCGGGCATCTGTTCCAGATGTCTCTTGGTCGCCTTCCTGGGGAGGTTTTCCATGCATTTCCTATTGGGAGGAGGCCGCGTGGAAGGTCCAGGAGGGACATGTCTGTGAACTGGCCCGGTGTCCCCTCGGGGCCTTCCCAGAGCAGCTGGCGCAGGTGTGTATGGATCGGGAAGTCTGGACATCTTTGCTTACTGTTGCCTCCCCAACCCAGCCCTGGATAAATCGGACGAAAAAGGATGAATGGATGATCCAAACCAAATATTAGATAAGGATAGCAAAAAATAAATGCCTCAAAATTGTAATTTCAATACTGTTTGATTAAGAATTATAGAAAAAAAAAAACCTAAACCTTATGTGACAGAGATTAGTGAAATAAGCACAAACCCTTTGAGTTACAGTAATTTCATCAGATCTGTTGTTGGACACCCTGAGCCTGTTCTACATATATCAGATTTGCCTCCTCTGGAGCACTCCAAGGTCAATGTATGAATATTCTTGACTACCAACAAATGACTGCAGTAAACACATATTTCCACTTGTGCTTCACAAAGAAACTCCATTGAGCAATTTTAGAAGTTAATAGAGCAAAAAAAATATATATGAGTTACAAGGAAAAGGGTATGATGGTGGTTTGGGATCAATGCAAGGCATAATTAATGGATTTTTTTTTTCCATCCATCTCTTAAAGGCCGCTCTGACAAAAAGAGATGGGAGGATTATGAATTTTTAAAATACTCCAGTTGGTGAAGGACAAGCTTGCTGGGGGATGATGCAGCATTGCAGAGTTTAGCACATTTTTTCCTTCACCTTGGCCAGGTGGTGGCCTAGACTCTGCTCGTGTCATGTATTTCTGTAAGATCAGATTTGAAAAAATAAAACGATAACGTGACTGTGGTATAAAAAATTTAAAATATTAAATCTTTTTGTCATTTGTTTTTAGCTTTATTTCAAAATGTTGTCATACTCCATATGTTGAGTTTATATTATTGTTCCCATTTGTCTCAGGTAACAACTACAGACCTCCTTGTAACTTTCTATGATAATTTTAAGTGATTGACAAAAAGCAGTGAATATCTGAGAAGCTGACAAAGAAAATAAAGCATGGCTTTTGAATTATTTGATCAATTTGCAGATTTCTACTTAAGAAGTGTGAAAACTATGTCAATTTCTTTCCACTTTACGCTACTTTAAGTTGGTTCATTACAGCGAATTTCAATTTAAAAACATTGAAGCTGACAAAATGAAGAAAGGACAGAAGAGTTTTATACTTTAGAAGGAACTATACAGATGGGTATCTTTTTAAAATAGAAATGAAAATAAATTCCCAATTTCTAGAAATGGAACTTAATTTGAGTTTTGTTTTTCTTTGCACTGTTTGCTGTAATATTTCAACCTTAGTATTTTTGTTTTTTATACTTTAATAATCCCAGAGGGAAATTACTTCTCTGCAATGCAAAGATCAATTCTTCCTTCCAACATCTAAATCTGCTTTATGGAGATAAATCCAGTCAAATATAATGTCTAGAAAATAATGTTCATTTAAACCAAAAAATACTTGCAGTAAACTTTAAGTTGCATGTCATTTTTCATCAAACACACAATTATTAATCGTATTATATGAGTAATCATTTTTATTATTACCAGATACTGTTTACATATGCTAGCCAAAGAAACTTGTAAAATAAAGTAAATAAAACTTGTAAATAAAGAAAATGAAAAAACAAACAAAAGTAATGAAATACTTTCCTCCATTTTATGGAGAATGCAAACAATTTCTGAAAAACAAAATTAGCCGGTATTGTTTTAAACAAAAACATTGCACTGACGCCCATTTATACCTTTGGCATATATGATATGGCATCTTATCTTCAAATCTGTAACATTAAAATTGGTTTTAGTACTCATCAGTATAGCAAGGGAGATTCTTTAGGTACCAATGTGTTTATGCTTTACAATGCTGTAAAAAAATAACTATGAGCCCCCTCACAGACATTTTCTGATTTTGCTTTATAGTCTCACTTAAATGTTTAAGATCATTAAACAGGTTTTTAGAAAGATGAACATAAATAGTTAAAAAGGTTTCTGTTCATTTATTAAGGGAGCAAAACAACAGATGTCCTAGTAGGCCTGGTCTGTGTGAATTGCTGGTAACTAGCAATTGGAATAAAACACAAATAACCCGCACGTTACTTCACTGTGGAGAGATTTTGGTCTCTAAACTGTAAAATTTTTGTATTCTTGTCGCAATGCATCATTTTTAAGTGTTACCAACTAAACTACCAGATTTAGGTCCAGGGCTTGACTGGTCGTCTCTGTCCTTGCCTTTCAATTATGGTCTTTCTGGTGTATTTCACTGTCCAGCCATTGAGCCTAAAGTCAAAAACAAATTTTCTGTCAGGATTTTCTGCTTAAGGAAAGATTTATTATTATTTTCTCAATCTCAACAACTTGTCCAGGTCCTAAAGCAGAGTGCGAACCTGTTGGTTTTTCTAAAATGCTGGTTTTACTAGAGATGACTTAACCTGATATTGGAAATCAGTCCCATAACCAAAAGCCATTTCGGTTTATATCAGCGTGCATCTAAAATATCATGCTTCTACCAGCATGTTTACATCCGGTGGCATTAATTCAAAGTCATTTGACGTGTTACTGAATAAAGGAGTTTGCCCTGTGACCATAAGGTTGTCGGTTCAAACCCCACCTCTGGCCTTCTCTGTCATTGTGTCTTTGGCCAAGATGCTTTTTACGCTGATGGCAGTCAGAGAGCCAGCAAGGCCCTGACCAGCTGTGGCTACAATGTACCTCAAGGATTTGCATCACAAAAGTACTTTGGAGTTTTGAAAAGATGCTACATAACTACAGGCCATTCCACTTCTATAATAATATACGATGCTTGAGTAGGAGCTGTGTGGCTATACTTGCTTTTACAGTCCACACATTTACTAGTTTCTTCTCATGAAATATTATTTTTTAGTTTATGCATTGGTTAGTAACAAATGTGCCATTTTTTCCTCATTACTGTTGTCATTGAGTAAAATCACTTGATCAACTCTCTTCCAACATTCCACTTCAAGACAATTAATAATAAAAGTATGTATGATTTGTTCTGTTATTGTACCAGATCAGTATTGGTTCCGGTCAATACTTAAAACTTCAATTTCGGTTTAACATCAGAAATTAAAAAGTTATATCAGTACACCTTGACGTATTACTCCAGATATGACAGGACCAACACCCTCCCAAAGGGCTTGCTTGGTTAGCTTTTAGCTTCTGCGGAAAAAATTGAGATTAATCAACCGTGGATGCTAATGTTGGTGTAGTCACTTTCTTTTTGTTGAAAAATGAACACTGCCCAGGTGTACACACTAGTCCTTTTGATGGTGTTCTTGGTTCCTTTAGGTCCTCCAATTAAACACCCTTAAGCTTCTGTTGAAGTTCTTCCATCTTCCTCTGTTTGGGGAATAATGTCCTTCTCTGTGGTTCCCTAGAGACCAGATGTCTTGGTAACAGCTTTGCTGTCCTTTCCAAACTGATATATGTCAGTGGCTTTTTGCCTGTCATCTGTTCTTGACATGACGGCACTACTTCATGCTGTTTAAAGAGCCTCTATTTCAGTTGAGTATTTTAGTTTCTAATCCCAGTTAATACTGGTTTTAACATATAGAAATCATCCGAAAAATTTATTTTGAAATCAGAGTTCTGCTCTTTTTTTTTGCTAAACATCGACTTTGCTTGATTTGAAACATGAAAAGAAAAAAAAAAGAAAAAAACATAATACTGTAATGGGGGAACATTTTCATGCCACTTTTACGCTTAAAAGAAAAGATAGATACCATTATTACTTTCAGTTCTTAGTACTGTTTGTACAATTTGCTTAGACACTCCAATAGTCATGTAACTACAAAACCGCTTTCCTTGTTCATCATCTCTATGTGTTCAGATGGAGGCTCGCCTCATTTAGTCACTGTACCAGGCTCTAAACTGGGCAGTGACAGAGAGAGAGAAGAAGAGAGCATGTGAATGTGAACAGTGCTCCACTGTCTGATAACAATAAGAGTGACTGCATGTGTCGGGGGACATTGTGTGTGTCTGAGTGAGTGTGCTGGTTACCTAATTTACATAGATCCAATCCCACCTAACCCAAACCACACAGACACGAAACACAGGCCAGATAAAGAAGTATACAGTCCTCCATTCAGCATTATGAGGGTGATAAAGTCCATAATACACCCTAAATCTGCAATCCAATGCCACATTTACGCTCCCAAATATTACTTCCTGTTTATTATCAGATGCTGAAGCATGTGATGTGTAAAGGCAGCCAGTCAGTGGTTCAGACCAAGTGGTTTGGCCTAGTGGGGAGTTGCGGAGCAGACAAAGGCCGCACTGTGCAGCCGAAGTGCCTTTGGTGTCGATGACTCTGCCAGCAGCTGAGACTGGCAGACCCAAAATGGCGGAGTGTCAGAGAGAGCCCCGCTGGTGCTTGTCATGGTCTAAACAGAGGGCAATTTCTGATCCCGTTTGCATGCGGAACAGTGCAGCTGCGCCTAATCCCCTGGCATTGTTTGCACTCTTGGAGGAGGTTGAAGGGTACAAGAGAGGGCGCTGGTGTGTTGGAGAAGTTCACATGGAGTCCAGTTTGAGTTAGATTAGAGATGAAGGAATCCTCTAAAGGTCCTGAGTGCAGTTTCTGCTTCTAAGAAAGAAGAACACACATTTACGTGAAAAATTTCAATAGACAAAAAAAAAGAAAGGATGAGTGAAGTTTGTACTGTGGCATCCCAAAGTGAGCAGTTCACACATGAAAAAGAAACAGAACAACAGCGAACAGAGGGAGAGAAAAAACTGCCATTAAACTCACTGTTGTTGAGATGACAGTCACACAGCTGTAGACGGTGAATGATTCTGTGGGAAAAAAAGTCACGCTTTAGATTCAGCGTTAAACAGTAGGCTTGCACCAAAGGCGTCTTCAACCTGTTGTCCAATATGCGCACATCGCCTTCTGCGTGTTTGCCCTTACCCGTTCTGCCCGTCAATCTGTTCCTGACGCAGTCTGTTTGCCAATCTGTCATCTTCTGTTTGCTGGATAAGGAGACCGGGGGAATGTGTGTGTTTGCACAGCATGTGTAGGTGTGGGTAAGTGTGTTTAAATACTAAAAATGCATCCCATTCTGGGTTGGTACTCCTGTTGCTCACAGCTAAAGACAAGGGTTGTTTATAACCTCACCAACATATGGAAAGAGCATTTCTGATGGGTAAATGGTCAACGATAAAATCTCTTTATAAAATCACTGCGACCCCTGTTTTCATTAAATGAACACTTGAAGTCACTGAACATCCAGTGTGTCTTCATTCTAGAAGGAATGATGCATTCATCTTCTTGTATTGAGTAAAACTCAGCAAGAAGTGGAAAAAATATATTTTTTTTATTTATAAAGATGGTAAAATTTCACAATTTTTACACTTTTTGCTGTGAAATCCAGTGCACTAACTGACTAAGTAAACACAATACTTGACTTTCTGTTTCCTGCGGGTAAAGTTTTACTACAGATGTGCCTTTTTCAATGAATAAGACAAAATAAACCTGCACTTCAATAAATGCGGCAGGCTAAATAAGTCTGATAGAGGCGAGATCAAAATATAAATTTTTTCTTACAATAAAGAATTGTATAAAAAAATACTACTTGTATTTTTTTTTTTTTTTTTTGTTTTAGGGGTTGGAAGTCTGAGTTTTACCCTGTTGGGTGTTAAGAGACCCAGTCCCCTGAAAAAAGGATCCATCTCCAGTAGAGAAAACATAAAAAGAAATGTACTACATAAATACATATAACCACGCTGGAGGGAATAATTTCTACCAAGAGAAATAGCTTTTATTCACCCAGGGATGACTGGGGTTTGGTGAATAAACTGTGAGCCCACCTGTGAATAGCTTGTTGATCCGGAGCTTGACCTGGGGTCCCTCCCAGAAGCTGGGGATCCCCCCTCCTTCTGACTGCCCACAGAGGAAGAGTCTGAGCAGCTACTGTGGACTGAAGCAGAGGGGATCCAATCAAAACAGAGCCGAAAAATACAGAACAAGCTGAGAGTCTGGAGCTCGAAAATACACGCTTCCACAATGAGTTTGGGGAAAGTATCACCCAGTGAATCACCCAAAACAGGGTTTTTTTGTTTGGGTTGCCTGCATGCTGCCTGCATGCTCAGAAAGTGTTTTATTTGGGCTTTAGATGAATAAAAATATGATTATTATGGTAATAAGCCTACCTTGAGCAGCAGGCAGGGACAAAAGAAATAAAAGGCCTTTTTTCCTCATGTGTACCAATGAATATCTAAACATCAGCTTATGTCCCTGAGGACATTTCATAGCCTGAAATCTGCTCATCGAGACACCTGGTGAGCAGAATGTGCATTACACCGAGGTGTGAATGGGGACTCATTTTAAGGTTAGGTGAAAACAGTTGCCTTCAGGGACTGTGTGTCTAAAATCAGTGGAATGGTACTCCAAATGGGAAGCTTAACTGCTGAACTCTGCGGACAAATTCAGCATCGGATGATGATGTTTAAACAGCAGCAGTTTACAGAGCGTGTTCGCTTCCCTTCCCCCTGACTCCCATGAATATGCTCCCTAATTCCCTGTATTTAGGAGACAGATTTATGAGTGAGCTCTGGCTGATGCGAATATGTTTCTATCTATTTATAACCTATCTGTCTAAACCCCTCTGTTTGTTAGTTGTTGTTTTTTTGTTTTTTTAATGACTGGCTACTTTCATTTTTGTGGTTGTTTCAAAAGGTCAAACATGCCTTTTTTCTGCAAGATCAACAAAAACACAAACATACTGACTCAAAGTAACTCTAAATATGGATAGGATGTATAATGTTTCATTCATGATGTACAGATCTAAAAAGAGCGTATCCTTGGAGATATTTTAGTTTTAGGACCTATGTGCACTGACTAGAAAAAAAACATAACTGCAAATGAATGCGAAGGCTTTTTTTAGTGTATCACCCACAGTGATTTCATCAGGCATATTAACTGCACAGAAAGGATAATACGTTTTCTGTTAAGAGATTGATCTGCTGCTCCGAGCGGCTCAAAAACAAAGAAATTCAATTAATGTGTCCGAAAAAGCTCGTTTTTCAATTATGGCCGACCACTACAGGCACAATCAAAAAAAAAAAAAAAAAAAGAGGTGCAGGTGAAACATTATGCGATGCATGCTCCAACTCTCTGTTCCTGTTAAATTGCATTACAGAGAAAAAACTCTTGAACACCATTAGATAAATGTATTCACATCCCTAGTGCTGTTTTCACATAATGCGCTCTTAAAACCGACAAAACGAAATATAATTGATTAGATTTTATGTTACTGTTTAATTCAAATTGGAAAAGGGAAGGAAAACAGCACAAAGTTTCAAATTTTAACTATAATCCTACAAAATCTGAAAAGTGTGGCATACATCTGCATTGTACTCCAGTTGCAGTCTCTCTAAAAGTTTCACGCTACAGTTCAACTGATTCAGTTTCTTTAAGACTGAAGTCGATACTGATTATCATGACATTTGTTTAACCAAACCGGTGTACTCCTGATTTTTTTTTATGTGATTATGTAGGTATATATTTTTCTATATTCCTCCATTTAAATAAAAAAAAAATGACACAATGATAACAAAAGCTACAGTACAGAAATCTCAATTGAAACAAACAGAAAACATAACTACAATGGACAGTAATTCTGTAGTGGAATGGAATTCTCTACAGCAAGCAGTAAGTCACCCACTCTGCAAACAGGAGGCCTGGGTTCGTATCCCAGCTGGAGGGAATGAGCTGCCAATGTGGGTCCTAAGGCAAGACCCTTTACACTAATGCCTGTTTGGGGAGTATTGGCCTAGTGGATTGGAATCCTAAGGTTCTGAGTCCACGGACTGCCACTCTGGCTCCCTACAGTAATGCTGCTATAGGTTTAGGCTGCTGGGGGACATAGGGACCACTTTCCGTCATTTTGCCTCATTCTATCTTCCATTCTGGAGTATTTGTTAGTTTAACGCTAACTTTATGTTCTTTCTGTTTATTTCTATCAAAGTAGCCTCATCAGGGGTGTTTCTGTTAGCTGTGAGACCATCCTGCAATGAAATATCAGTCGATCTGCTTCATCAGCCTCTCGCATTATTGATGATAGAGTAGGGCCTATTTTTTAGTGCTTATTCCTGTTTCTGTCCCGGACATAGCTAAGGGTGCAGGTTTCACTATGACTAATTGTATCTGCCCACTTTCATCTCTTTGACACTAAAAGGGGCTCAGAGCTCGTATCCTTATCTGTTTCTTTCCTAGATAGACCCACCTATGAGCTAGGTGCTCCCCAAGGGAATGGGTTAAATGCAGAGGTAAATTCCTCCAATGGAAGCTCAATTAAGTTCAATTATTATTATTTGTTTACTGTTAAGTTTTTCTAACAGAAATGATTTGTAGATAAGAGCTTCAATGATCATTTTGTATGTCTGCTTCTATCTCCTTGAACCCAAGTTGGCCTCAAAAGAATGCCTCTCATACTGAGCCTGGTTCTGCTGGAGATCTCCTCCAGTTAAAAGAGAGTTATTCCTCTCCACTGTTGCCACAATCATGCTTGGTGTCAGGGATTGCTGTAGCGTCAATGAAGAAATACAAACAGATATCTACTGTCTCCACATGCTCATCTACTGTAGGAGCAACTAATTCTGACAAGTCAATTACTTGATGCAATCAGCTGGATTTCCTTAGATAAAAACTTTTAGCTAATCTGACTGTATGAAATGACTGGATGTAAAGTACCATGAGATGACGTGTTCGGAACTGCCGCTAGATTAAAACTGAATTGAATTGTTTTGCATGTAGGCCAATATCACACCAGATAACTTCTCCCTCCGCATTCTTTCTGTGCGCTAATCTTTAAGTGGAACCTCTTGCTTTTTTCAACAACAGCTGTCTTATCGTCCCTCTTCCATGAGGACGTGTTTTTCTTGACAAGCCTAGTAAATAGAGGTCATTCCAAGAGATTCTTCCATCTGAACTGCTGATCCCTGCAGCTCCTCTAAAGTTACCCATGGCCCCTTTAGAAGCTTGACTGATTAATGTCCTTCTTGCCTGACCTGCTAGTTAGATGGACGGTTCGCAACAGAGCTCTGTGAGATGTTCAAATCTCCTCTTATGGTTTCTGAAACATAACCCTGCTTTCAAAGGTGATCTGTTTGCTGTATTCTTTAGACTTAAAGATACGGCAAGTTAAATGATGTTCTCTAAATAACTGTGTGACCTTCATGAAACAACTGACCCAAATGTTGTTGGGAATAAATGACGCAAATCTCCATGAAAAATATGAAATTGTTGCTTTAAATGGGATAGTAATATGTGAAAAAGCATAAGGGGTCTAGATAGGGTTTCAGGGTTTGTATATCTATCCTTTTTTTCTCTTCTTGGTGAAACTTCTGGTGCTTTTAGAAGTCCACACATGATATGGCGCTGAGCTCCTACCTCTGTCGCTCAGACTGGAGACAGAGTCCAACTCTGATCCTGGAGTTCCTGTAGCATCCAGCAGAAGCTTACTGGAAACTCCCATGCACAGTGACTCCTTCAGACACAGCTCTGGGGGGGAAAGGAGAGATTTCTTGGAAAAACATAAAAAACACCTCATTGAAGTAGCATTCCTAGGACTCTTTCCTCTCCGACAAATAGCTACACATTCTACATCGTGGTTCAAAATCACAGAAACATCTCTCGTCTTGTTTCGCTGTATCAGTCTGGAGCCACTTTGTTTTCTGAACAATGCTTTGTTCCCAAGGAGCATTACCATCTGAACAGATTTAATCCCCTCTTATAAGGAGCTTCTCTGCACCATATTGCAGGATGATACTGAAATCTAAGCCAACTGCGGGAAGCGATCCTCAAACACAAGCTAGGCAGGAACTCCTTGTGTTCAGAAAGCTGGGCATCACCATAAGAAACAAAAATAAATCAGCATTTGGTTTTCCATATGTTATTTTTTTTAACTCATTGCTATTAATGCTGTGTTTCACATTTCTGAAAAATAGAAAACATTTGTATGGTACTATTAGGTGTTAACAATCAGTTATAGCAGATATTGAATAATGAAATACAAAGGCTCATGGTTCTTCTAAATGGGTTTCAATTTGACTTTTCGTTTGATTTTTGTACTGTTTCCTTTCAGTCAGTCACTAATTTATCTTACATCTAAAGTTCTATGGAAACAGAATTAAGACAAAAGGAATACTTCTCTGCTATAAACCATCCACCGAGCTCCCTCAACCATGTTTTTAGGATGCGTTAGGATTATTCTTAAAGGTGATGTGTGAGTCTATTAAACCTTAATAATACCTGCCTTCTGTGTGTCAGAAGAAATGTTTTCCCCAGTAGTTCATCTAATTAGAACAGTTCCTCTGGCCGGATATAGAGTTATAATCTTCATTCTTCACGTGGCAAAGATTTGGGAATGAAATGAGAGCGTTTTCCTTGATCAAAGAACGTAGTGTAATACTTTGATAAGGCTGGAGCCATGGACGCCCCCTCATTTACAAACATCTATGATGTAATGATGTGGTGTACTGTAGTTGTATAAAATGCTTAACTGTGAATTGAGGCCACTTCATGAGACGTGAGCCGGTTGGTAAGCACTGCTTCCTGTAACTGTGAGCAACTTCTCTGTCTGAGTAAGATCACAATTTCTATTACAATCTCCTGTCTTGTATCATGGTTTTTTAAAAATATATACATTATGAAAAGTTTTTTAACGAGTTTGTCCCAAGTGACCTCTTTTCAGGAAAAAGAACTAGAGAGAGAAAGCTGGTGTAAACACAGAGCTTTCCTTCATAAAAGTTTGACCAGATATAGGACACCATTAGTTTCACCAAATATAGTAAAATATGCCCAGATCATCATACATCCGCTACCTTATTTGCCTTTTTTTTGCCTGAAGTCCCAAAGACTTTTTTTTTCCTCAACCATTATTGAATTGCTTCAGTTTGACAACACATACAACATTTTATAACATAATAATTCCTGTTTTAATGAGGAGGAAAATTTCTCTATGATTTAGATCACTTGTTGCCTTTCCTAGATCAATTTATCATTAAAACTGCATGATCTTTTTTTACTGATGTTAGCATTGAAAGATTGTATTACCAGATATTGATGATTTAACACATATAAGTGTATTAAACTGTATTAAAGCAAATTATAATCAACATGGTCCCTTTAAGTGCAAAAAAAAAAAAAAAATCTAAATATTCTTTGACAACCATTCTTCCTTCTAAGACGGATTGAAAACTGGACCTGTTGATAATTTCCTTGAGCGTCTGAGTTTATTGTGTACCTGTGTTGTTAATGGCATGCGTCCACAGCAGATGGGCTATGTCATGAGCCCAGGCCTCCCTTCCTTCCCTGCCCTGGGCCTGAAGGGTGATGCAGTCTCTGGTTCGGGGAGCCTGTCTGACCCAGACTTCAAACTTCACTCCTTCGTCACCAACACTCTGAGTCAGACCCATTTCGCCCGTCTGAAGTGGAAGGACAAGGTAGGACCATGTGTGAATTACTGGTTCAAACATCTCGGTTTTTTGAAAAAAGAAACCTAAGTCCACACCTTGATGCTGTGCTTGTAACTGTAGACAGTGCGTCCTGGACTGGGGCTCTTCTGCTTGGTAAAGATGATGACCTGCTGGTAGAGGAAGACATTCCTGACCCCTGCTCGCTTCCTCCGAGGTCCCCCGCAGACGGTCAGCTCTCCCTGCCTCACCAGATCACCACGTTCTCCCATTGCAATCTGAACAACATATAAAGTAGCCTGTTAGCCTTTAGTTTATATACGATTTTACATAGACCATCTCAGAGACATATCTTCACCTACATCTTTATGAGCCAGATTTTCTTGGTTTGACTCTAAAAACAGGCAACGACTTATCAAAACAGATTGCAGAGCAGAGTGTTTTTTCTGTCATGTTTAGCATGGGGCCCTTTCTTCATCCTTTGTGTGTTCCTCTCCCTGTCAGTCAGCTGAATATTATATTTTTCAGTTAGAATAATTTGGACATCTCATTGTTTATGAGGAAATGCTGTTTAAGAAAAAAATGTTAGCATCAAGCTATGAAAGCTAGCATATCCCACCTAGGTGAGGTCTTTAAAATTTAATAGCTCATTATCTACATTAGTCATCTATGCCTTCATAACATTCTTCATAATATTTCATAATCAGTAGGCGGTGATGTAAGACAGAGCGCAATCATTTCTATGAGACGTTGAGAAGCAGTAGATTTTTTTAGCAGCTAATCTGCACAGTGACAGCAGCTGTTTTTTTTGTGATAATGTCTAAATCGTAAATATTGGTTTTTCATCTGGTATTGGTCTTTGATTTTTTACAGCCTTCCTAAATACCAACTTTGATATAAGGTTTATGAATCTTTCAGCACATTTTTAAGGAGGAAAACATTTTCTTCTTAAAGGCATTCTTTGTTATAGAAAATAAAATTCTAAGGGGCTTCACGAGGCAGTTTCTACATTTTACACCACATACATATAAGAAAATACATTTTAATTTCACAACCAAATCAGCAACTATCCACTCCTGCTTCCAGTTTTCTTAGTTTGGTGTTCAAGAAAATCCATTTTATCAGTGGCGACTGAAAAGCCCTCCTCTCAGTCCAATAAAGAAAAAGACAAAGAAGGATTATTGTTCCACCGACTTCTATAGAGCCATCCGCTGCTTTCACATGGCCGCTTTTTTATCTGTTGGATCTTTGCTCTAATTGGCCAGATGAGTCACGTCTTTTAGAAAAAAAAATGTAACTTCATTGTTCGCGTCAATTACAGGGCTGAGACTTCTTCATGCTGTTGGGACTCATAACAAAGGCAGACAGACACTCATAAAAGTCAGAAATTGTATAGAGCTCCTTCAGTAAGAGATTCCAGGATTATAAAGACGCAAACAAACAGCGTGAGCAACAAGAACAATGCTCTGCTGAGGCCGAAAAAGACGGCGATTCACTGGCATGCAGCTTTATTTTTAAAAACCTGCCGAGGTGAGAGGGGGGTCATCATACAAGTGAGGCTTCACATACGTTAATAGCTCCCACACACACGCCCACTGGAAGACACGTTCACCTGCACTCACAATCACTTTTTTACCTTTGAGAGCTGTCGACGTGAAGTGCCTCGGTAGAAGTGTTTACACTCTCCTAAACCCTCCCCCCCACACACCCATATATAAATTGTGAGTATATCTGAGTATATGCATGTGTAGGAGTTCAAAGCTAGAGAGTTAGACTAACAATGCGAAGTTCAAGAGCAGAGATATTGTTCAACAATTTCTAATAAAGCCCAAATATGGTCAGAAAAATCCACAACGGCCTGAGCTGTGAGCATTTCTACAGCATCTTTGGTCTCATTAGTTTCCCTCAGCTCTACTTTCCTCCACTTGTACCTGTCAAAATGGACCAAAATATTCCGGAAAATAACAAATGTTTCAAATAACTGCTTTATATTTAGAAGCTCCTCAGAAAAACAATCCTCTAACGGAACACTTAAAACAGCGACTCTCAGACTTACAATGTTAAATATTAGTTTAAGTAGTTTGTGCCTGAACAACTATTTCTTCACTGTGGCGCTTTAAAGATTCTGCTAGATTAACAGAATATTTAACTGTAATAATAAAGTATGCATTATCTTTTTGTTTCCAAAGAAAAATCTTAAAAATGTGGTATTTATTTGTATTCAACCTCCTTTCCTCTGCTACCCTTAAAATAAAATCAGCTTTCCTCAGCAAAGTATCATGGACCCTCTGTAAGTGCCTGGTTAGAGAAGACTGACGAATCGTCAACATTACACCAGAAACACAGCAGGAACACATACATTAGGGACACATCTTAAAGCCCATTAGTTTCTGCATGTTTCTGCTGTGACTGCTTAGATAATCTGGATGGATTATTCTGTTGTTCTACAAGAGAGAAAAGGTGAATAATGGAATATTGACAATGTTGCAAAGCTTGTTTAAGTGAAAGACTGGTAACCCATATCTATAAGTGGTGTGAACATTTGGACCGAAAAGTCCTTGATATGTTGATATAATCAAAGGTACATAGTATGTAATTTGACATTTTTAAATGTATACGTCAGTAACTCATTCTGGTTTCATAGTTTTTTTATGCCAAATTACAGCGTCTTGCTGGTGTAGGTTTGTTACTTTTGTCTTTTGACCTTCGCTTTTGCTTAATTTGTTACTAAATATAACCCTTTGAGCTGCGCTAAGAAAAAATTCTGACCTTTGGAGAACTTTAAGCTGGAGCTAAAGCTTAGAAGGCATTCTAATGCGGCTGTGAAGTTTCCTTTTCTTTTTTTCTTATTTAATGCACTTCAAATAGTTTTTCCAGGGAAATTTAAAAGGTAAATAAAATTGCCTTGCCCTCATGCCTAAAACTTTTCAGGCAGCTGCACATGTTTTCTTGTTTCTCCATTCATCTAAAGGTGTTGTCATGGTTACCTGTGTGTGCATATGGGTGGGACTTATTCCGCACATTAACTTGAACACACCATCCATTGCATGTAACATGGTAGTGGTGGCATGATGATGTGGGAGGCTTTTCCTTTAGGGTACAAGAAAGCTGGTCATAGTTGCAGAGAAGATGAATGAAGTCTAATTCAGGTTGATCTTATACTGTAAAGGCTATGGAGGAATGGGTTAAATAAAGCAAGAAACAAGCAGCTATGGGGGGCTTCTAACAAAAGCTGATTTAAGGCGGATTGGTAAAAAGGCATTCCACACGTCTCAGATTTTTCTCTGTAAAAACAACAATATCAGTCTCCTTGCAATAAAATGGTAATGTGGTTTGTGTGTCACACAAAAACAATTGTATGATATAAGTTACTAAGCTAAAATGCAAGGAATCATTGTGTATACTGTAGCACAACTCAGTAGAAAGACAATTCAAAGTGCTTTGCATGAATAAAACAATAAAATATGAGAAAAGTAAAAGTGGAATAATAGCAAGTAAAGATAAAAACATGTTAAAAGCAGGTAGTAAAGCAAAAAACAAAACAAAAAAACAGCTGGATCACTAACTTAAACTAATGATACTACAGTTAAAAATGTACCTGTAAATGTTAAAGGCATTTCTAAACAAATAGAGGTTTTAACTTTGACTTAAACGAAGAGGCATGAATAATTTATTGCATCACATGAGGGACCTTATTAATTACATCTCTTTTAATTGATGAATGAATATGAATAAAAATAATGTGAAAACACCCCCTCCTCCTTCCCTGGCCTGACCTCATCCAAATTATTTAGGTTTTTCCATCTAAGAAAAGAAAGTGGGACTTTGCACACTTAAGAACTGGGGCATGCGCTCTCACCGGACAGCCGACGATGAGGTCACTGGCCCTGAGGTCCTCGCCGTGCTTCTGGGCGTGTCTCAGGACGTAGAGGGCGGAGTCCGAGGCCAGATTTAAGCCCCCCAGCTCCTCCAGGGCCTCACAGTACTGCTCCAGTCTCTGAATGGGAGCCTGCAGGCAGTGAGGGAAAGACAGAGGGGAGAGGGGGGAGGCCTGGGGGAGTTTAGACTGTGGAGAGGAAGAATAAAAGAGGAAGGAGGGGTTGACAAGAGCAGAAATGCAGAAACAGAATGAATGCCAGCTCTGTCTGTGCTTTGGTTTTACATAAAAAAACAAAAAAAACCCTCTGGTGTGTGGGTGTCATTTTCTAACTTCAACTTAAAGCCTGTTTCAGATCAAACGGCTCTCCGAGGCGACGATATTCGCTGACGCAGCATAAAGTCTCTGCTGCAGCCCAGCAGAAAAAGCTCAGGAACATTTCAAGACGCTAATGAAAGAGTTCAAGTTATAGCCTGAAACATTCCCAGATATGAGTCTGATTAGGAATCGCTGAGATGTGCTGACAAAAAGCTTTTCATAACGGTCTGCTGCTGCAAACCGGGTGACTTAAAGGGATAGTTTACATTTACTGAAGTCGGATTTTGCTAGGAATCTGGTTTACAGTGTTTACTCAGTGTCTGCATTTGATAAAAGTCTATGAGACTAAAGCTAGCCTCCCATCTGAAACCCACCCTATTAGAAAGGCAGATTTTTACATTATTGGACTTTTATATCAGAAAACTACTCTTAAGCTTCTTAAAACATGTTTCACATCGGACGACCATTGGTTACCTGGGTTACCTTGATTGCCCATTACTTGATCCATTTCTATAGAAAATAATCAATGGTCTCTCTGTAAATAAGCACTCAATGCAGACTCTTCTGCTCTGAATTAGGCCCAGACTATATTGGACGTCTACCATAAAATAACATATCTACTCTCATTAGCATTGTAGCTGATTAAGGAAATACTAATTTATATCCATTTCTATTGGTTTCATGTTTGTATTCTGTGGTTCACCAAGAAACGTGTTTTACAAACAGGAAGGGTTGGAGGCTGTGTGCCACTGGTTAAATATAAGCAGAGAACATGACAGGAATTAGCTTAACCTATCTA